CCATCTGTGATACAGGAATATGACCCTAGTCTACCAAAATGACCTTAAAGCAGTTTTATCTTAGTAACGATAGGATTGCGTCATCCTTCATCCCACACTGTACCTAGTGTTTGTCATGTTACCAATCTGAAGATATGATGAAGTTAGACAAAGCTGGATGTTCCTATTTCTCTCTAGGATGTTTCTAAGAAGCGTTATAAGATTATTCCGCATTTAAGGCAATTATAAGAAAATTTTCTCAGAAAGAGCAAGCTGAAATCACAGCCGCTGTTGATAAGTTTTAGTAGCGCCCAGACACTTCACTTCTCCAGGTCCAGCCCATATCAAAGAAAGCAATTGACTGCAGTACTCAAAGTAAAGGAAGCAGGGAGAACAAGTTTATTATGCTAAACACAGCCGCTTTCACAATGAGCAATGACTTAACGGGAAAAAATATTTTCCAGGCACATGGGATTCTCTGGTCCAAATAGCTTTTGCTCAACATTTGGCACAGGTCTGCATGTAGGGCTCTAGGTGAAGAGAGAAAACAAATAAATGTGACCTTTGTGAGGCTGTTTTTTTTTTTCTGTGAAGCCAAAAGGTGCACAAATACACAAATATTAGTCCACTCTTATTTTTGTGCTGGAAAACTTCTGCCTGGCCTTCAGCCTCCCTGCGTATCGTGATTGGCATCATGGCAGCCCAGCTTGCCTCCCACAGGCCTTGCCATCTGTCTGACCTGCTGAGAGGCCAGGCCACATCAGTGTTCCTCTCAGCCAATGGGAAACGCGGTCTACTATTGGCTGTGTTCCTCTCCCCTCCTCCTGTTGATACAGTTTGTTTGGACACAGCACCTAAACCTCAGAACGGGTGGCTTTACTTCAGTCTAGCCCAGTGGCTAATGGCACTGGTGCCTAAGCAGGGTAACCTGAGTTCAATCCCTGGAACCCACTCATGGGAGGAAGGAGATCCCCAAAGGTATTATCCTCTGACCTCTGTGAGTTTGTGAGCACACACTCTCTTTTTTGCGCACACACGCGCGTGCATGTGCACACACACACACACACACACATACACACCTACCTAAATAAAATGGGAAAAGTTTACAATGAAGTATGGAAAACTCTGTTGTTACGCTGATCTTGGCCATGGAGAGAGGAGAGCCCAGCTCTGAGAGAACGTCAGATCCCAAAGAGGGCTCTGTCCTAGGTTTTCTTCCCTTGTGTCTCAGCATCTTAGATGCTGTGCAGCTTTCTGCTTGAATCCTTTGCTCTACATTAGTTTAATGAGGTCGTCACTTTCATCCGCCTGACAGGCACCCGCCTTCCCTCCTGTGTGTCTGTTTGTCTGTCTGTCTGACAGCTTTGCAGAACCACTTCAACCTTCACAGTTGCCTAACTCGCGCCTTGGGGAATGATATTTATTTTAAAAGCCAGCTCTTGCCCTTACGCCAAGGACCGTTTTGAAGTCTCCCCTTCTATACCCTTCTATTTAACAGATGTCCCCTTGACTTATGACTTAGTAACTTTGAAGACTGGCCAGTAAGATATCTGTGAACCTCAAAACATACAGGAAGTCTCAGGTTATAAAAGGTAGTTGTTGCCCTGTGTGTCATGCCTCATCTCTTTACCATTCGGGAGACAGAGGCAGCCAGATCTCTGTATGTTCCAGACTGGCATGGCTACACAGTGAGATGCTGTCTCATCAAAAAATGTGGCCGTTGAAATGTCTCTGGGCTTTGTCTATCCCTGGATGTGTGCACATAATTTGAGTGCCCACTTAGGGCAGAGTTCAGCCTCTGTGTCATGCCTTAGGAACTGGCCACCCTGTCATTTCAGCTAGGAATTCTCTCACTGGGACCTGGGGATCACCGATTTCGGTTCACTGCCGGTCTGACTGGCAGCTCAGTGGATCTGATGGACCCCACCATGAAGGAGCACCTGCCTTCTGTTGGCGCTCCTGAGCTAGCTCAGGCTTCTTCAGGCCACGCTCGACCTATCTCCCTAGGCCACTACATTTTCCTAACAATCATCTAGTCAAGAAGTACTGGCGAGGTCCAGGAACCAAATGGCAAGAGAACTTCTAAGCTCCATGACCTAATATCCTCCTTTCCTCTTCCTGGAGGAATGATTATGCTTTAGCATTCAGATTTGTCTATTATAGAACAGCCCAATATAGCCCTTAGAATATTAAAAAAAAAACTATTTTGTCACAGAAAAACTGATTATCTACTAGAAACACCTCTTTTCTCGGAATTTCAGTTTTGAAACCGTGATCTGCTGGTGGCTTTTTAATGAGTATGTGCTGTCTTCAGTACTTTGTGGGAAGCAGTGGAGTTTAATTATTAACATGAGTATCGTGGCATCAGACTACCTAGGTTTAAAGGAGGTGAGTTTACACACAAATCAGAAGGTGATTATCTCGGGCAAAGTGCTTAATACTCTTGAACCTCAGGTCTCTCCCACACATTAATGTTCTGGGGACTCAATGAGTTGATACATAAACACATGGACTTATGCTTTTTGAGTCTCACCGTTTTCTCATTGCGTCTGATATTATTAACTACGCCATGCCTGGCGTAAAATAACAGCACTGTGGCTGTGAGGTGCCATTCTTACTATTTGCTTTTAGTTGTTATAACACTCTGCAGATGCATATAATCCCACTGTGCAGGCGAGGGAACTGAAGCCAGAGGAGGTTATTTAACTCTCCCAAGGTCAGAGGGCTAAGATTTCAGAGCTAAGGCTTATTATACCCGTGTTCACCGGGCTGAGACCAGAAGCCTCTTTCCTGCTTCACCCGTGGGGTCTGTCTGACTCTTCATTACCTCAGCATTGTCTGCTGGGTGTAGCGGTTGCTCTGTGAGGAAAGCCATGGCTGTGTCCACAGGGAAAAAGGTCATTTCCTGGTGTGTTCTTAAGTGTTTACAATTTCATCCTGGTAACAAGCTTAGGCTGTTAGATTAACACATTTCTTAGCATGTGTCTACATAAGTCTTGCTTCTTCTTTGAGGAGGTATATTGTGCAGTAGGAGAATGGGTTTCTTGTTTGTTTGTTTTCTTGAAATCAATGTATTTGCTGAGAGAATGGTCTTAATGAATATGCTCTTAGGAGCCTGGCATAGTGGCTACGGCCCAGGCAGGTTCTACTGATGATGGTTCTGAGTTGTTCAGTGAGTGAGTTTTTATGTGAAACAGACAAATAGTGAGCTTTTAAAGCAGCTCATGGCCTGTTTATTAGAATTCATGACATCATCCCTGACATGGATCTTTGAACATCCTGGCACCTCTAGGACTCGGTCAACACGCTGTGGAAAAGGGATCCTGGGGCAGGTGTTCAGCAGATGTTAGCTCTAGGGCAGGTGTTCAGCAGATGTTAGCTTTAGGGCAGGTGTTCAGCAGATGTTAGCTCTAGGACTTGGTGAACACACGGTGGCAGAGGAAGCCTGTGGCAGGTGTTCAGCAGGTGTTAGCTTTAGGACACGTGTTCAGCAGATGTTAGCTCTAGGACTTGGTGGCAGAGGGAGCCTGTGGCAGGTGTTCAGCAGATGTTAGCTCTAGGACAGGTGTTCAGCAGATGCTAGCTCTAGGGCAGGTGTTCAGCAGATGTTAGAATGGAGTAGCTGTGAGAGAAATGCTCATTGTACAGATGCACAATGGGTAGATGGAAGAGGGACTGGGTTTTTTGTTTCTTTATCTAAGCAATCATAATACTTGCCTTCATGGTGGTTTTCTTTTTTTTTTTCCTCTGACACTGTCTCCCCCTTTAAAAAATGCGTCTATGTATTATGTGTGTGTGTTCATATTTATATCTGTGTGTGCAGTGTACGTGTGCATGCATATGTGTTCACATACTAGTATGAGCCAAAGGGCAGTGTCAGAGGTCTTCTGTCCCCCCCCCCCTTACTTTTTTGAGAGATACTGTCACTCACTGAGCCTAGAGCTTGCCCCTTTGAGCTCTAGCAAGCTGCCTTTCCTTCCTGCCTCCTCCTGCAGAGTTCCAGATGAATGAGCCGGCCTGGCTTTTCTGTGGGTGCTGGGGATTCCTAGTGTAGGTCCTGCTGCTTACACTGCATTGCTCTGCCCATTGAGCTACCTCACTAGTTCCTTCCTCATCCTTTGTAATGTTGCCTCACTACTCTTTTTTTTTTAATGCGTGTGTGTATGTGTGTGTGTGTGTGTGCGCATGTGCACATATGTGCACGAGACCAGAGGTCAGATCCTGGTGTTGTTCCTCAGTAGGCTCTCAGTCTAGCATGTTGAGAGTTAGTCTCTCACCAGGACCCGGGACACACAGGTTAGGCTGCCCAGTCATCTCCGAACCCTAGAATCTACCTGTCTCTGCCTCCCCAGGGCTGGAATTTCAAGCACACATCACCACTGTTCATGGCCTCTTAGAAATGGGTATTGGAAGTTGAGCTCAGGTCTTCAAGTTTGTGAGGCAGATGTGTGATGGGCTGAGTTGTTGACATAATTTCAAACGCAAATTTTACCTTCCCGTTCAAGCTTCAGTGCGTTTCGCGTCTTTTGCTTTGAAGCTTCTGTTCTGCCCTGTAATGGTGGGGGATATTAGTTAATAGTCGGAGTTGGCCTCAGCGAAGACACTTCAGTGGCCATAGACAAACTTGCTGAGTTGTCTTATCCTTCCCATTGGCCCTAGCAGAGCAGAGCCATCTTTGCTGGGGTGGATTACAAGTGGAAGTTTAGGATCTGTTTTTATTTATGGAATCGGTGATTGCCTAATAGGAAGTTTTCTCCTTAAAGATTAAAGAAAATCAATCAGGATCTTTCCTATGTGAACAATAGTACTGACGGAGAAGAACCGTATGCCGTTTTCCACGGCCACTAATTATTTCTAGAATCAAAGGAAGAAGGCATTCTTTAATTCCTGCTTGAGTTTTAATTTGAGAATGCATTGAATACAGCAGTAGCTGGTTAGCGATGGAGTAGTTATTCGGTGGGCATCTGCCTGCTGTAGGCGTGCGTTGGTTAATGTAACCTTTCCACTTTGCCCCCTTTCAGCTGTTCCGTTTCCGCCAAGTCACCGGCTGACAGCGAAGGAAGTGTTTGATAATGATGGGAAGCCGCGTGTGGATATCTTAAAAGCACATCTCATGAAGGAGGGCAGGCTGGAAGAGAGTGTCGCCTTGAGAATAATCACAGAGGGTGCTTCCATTCTTCGACAGGAAAAGAACTTGCTGGATATTGATGCTCCTGTCACAGGTAAGGCCCTGGCGTGGAAGCCACTCTGCACCAAGCCCTATAGAGAACAGTAAATCAAGGTCCTATACCCACTTCATCCGGGCTTCCCTAGGGGATTAAAGATTTGTCTGTGCATAGAAACATCTTTATTTTCACTGATTGTCTGCAAAATTGAGTTACTGTGATCTCAGAAGTGATGTAAATACAGCTAATTGATGGTGTTTTGTCAGCAGAAACACAAGGGAAGGTTAGACAGAGTGTCCTCAGCCTCCCACAGGGGTGGCAGCCATGTCCAAGTGAAATGGAGTGAAAGGTGCTCTCAGCACCCGGGAACTTGCTAGAATGTAGGTTCTCAGGCTCTGCCCTACAGCATCCCCAGGTTCAGACCCAGCATTCCATGTTTTGTTTAAGTCGCCCGAGTTGGTCTGGCCCACGTTAGAGCATAAGAAGTACTGCTTAGCCCAAGGAGGCCAAGATGGTCTCCTTCCTGTGGTGTTCGTGCCTGGGGTTTACTTCCTGACTGTGTCTCTTCTGTCACTCTTCTTAGAAAGATGTGTATTTTGCTGTAAGTATGCTACTCCTATGTCATAAGAATTAAATCTTATTATAAACAGAGCATCTAACACCTAGAAAATTTAATCTGTTGTGTATATGCTGAGAGTGCAGGCTTTGATTTTCAGTGACGTTAAGAATGTTTTTTTTTTTTTTTTAAAAAAATATTTTTAACTTGTCAAGGGAAAACATTTCAGTGCAAAATATTTGAAAGAAAGACATTGAAAGTGTTTCATATACCTTCGTGTTTTTCATCTTCTGGATGCTCATATGCTTTTGCCATTGTTCTTGAAGAACATATTTGTGTGTGGCTGTTAGTAGAGCGATGTGTTTCCTTGCTTATCAGAATTGACCTTTGCCAATGGAAAAGGTCTTCTTGAGGACCCCTAGTCCAAAGAAATGGACATTATCCACAGTTGGTTTTCGGTTAGCAGTTTCAGTGATGATCCTGTACAGTTAGACAGCAGGAAGCATTTGTCCTATTGGTATTAGCCCTCTATTGGGCCATTGTCACTGAGTCAAGCCATCAACCTACTGTGTGCACTTCAGAGTAAACCTTGGTTTCCATATTATCAGATAGAGTCCAGTGTTAATGATACAAAAGACATGATGGTGCTGGGCTTTCTCCAGTGCTGAAACCCTAAAAATAAAATGAAATAAAATTAGTATTTAAAGGCTGGTTAAGAGTTTCCAGCAGCAGAAGCATCTCAGAGCTTGATTATAATTGCCTCCTGTATATTAATGACAGTGTGTGTACATTAGCTAATATCTTTATGATTCCATTTATTTGTCAACAATAAGAATAAACGACATGATATTTTATTAGGTTTACTTTTCCTTCCTTTCCCATGATAATGTCCAGCTTCCAGTGAAGATTTCGTGTTAAATTCACCAGTGAGCCCAGTAGGTGTTGATGGAGGTGATAATTACAGCCCGAAGGGAACGTAAAATAAATGTTTAGGGGAATGTGTTTTCTGGCATGGCTCAGCCATCCTTGTTTGATTAGCTTGGCCTGGAAGAAAGCACAGATTGCCTAAAAACTGGGTTCCTGAGGTTTTATCCGTGAGACCTAATCCTGTATATAGTCTACGGACCTTCACTCCTCGATTCTGTGAAGAACACAGCTGGACTCTCTAGAGAGGTTCCAGGTGACATTGTAGCAGTTTCCAGAACACAGATATGAAGATGTGTGGAAATCAACAATCAGTTACCTATAACTTTAGGTGAGGTAGAAAAAGCTTTGTAGTCAATACAGAAGTGCAGCAGGATACAGTTTTTCTTAGGGGGGTGTTTGTATTTTGAGATGAAGGCAGGATCTTGTAGAACCTCTAGCAGGTATCCTTGGAGAGGTCTCTACTCCTTTTTGCTCTGAATGTAAAGATAAAATAATAGTGGCAAAGAGGGCGGGCAAAAAGGATTTATTATAGCATTTAGGTAAAGGGGAGAAACATTTTTATGTTTAATTCACTAGAAAGCCAATGCCTTTGTCTGCCTAAGCTGCTATACAACAGTTTCCGAAGGCAACTCTTTCATAAGCAATGGAAGTCAATTTCTCACAATACAAAGGCCTGAGAAGTTCAAGATCATGGTGTTGACAGATTTAATGTCCCCTCGTTAGGGCCTGTTCCGTGGTTCACAGACAGTGGCTTCGCCTGTGTCCTTACATGGGAGAAGGAAGTGGCCTCAGTCTATAGACACTGATTCCATTTCCAGTGACTGTAGAGCCCCTTTCATGCACCCTTCCTGAGTCTCTGCTATTGTGTATTAGATTTCAACCCAGGAATCTGGGGGAGACCTAAGTGTTCAGACCACAGCAGCTACAGTAAGGAACAAACTCCCAACATACGACTTTCTGAACAGCAGTTTAAAAATGGGCGAAATTGGAAAAGAAAAGCAGGGCATGCTGTTCAAGAAAATGCTGACACTTTGCTTCGTGTTTTGGAATAAAAATGAAATAGCCATAACTTGGCATCTAGAATCCTCCCAAATCTGAAGCCCTCCGAGTAACAGGGGACCATCCAGACAGTCAAGAAACCAAAACATGTCAGCTTTCAGATTCTGGGTTAGGGATATTCAACCAGTCCAGTCCCTGCAAATACTCCAAAATCTAGAAAGCCTCTCCCAACATGTCTTCTAAAAAGAGGGGTCCTGAGTCTTGACTTAAGACTTGATAATGTTTTATGGCATCTGGTTGTTGTATTCTGAGATTTTACTTTATTTGGACAGCTGAGCTGGCCAGATGTTTATATTTTAACTAAGAGTTTATTTGTTTAGATAATTGAATCAGCAAAGTACATTTAGTTTATACTTGAAAAATTTCATGATAAAGTGTTCTTTATATAATTCTGATTGCCACTGTAAAAGACCACATGTGAAAGAATTCAGAGACAAAGGAGAGAACAAAAGCAGGCAAGGAGTAGGTGAGGGGGGAGCTGTGAGGAAAGATAAAGGGGAGATAAATGAGTTTTGCGGAGACAAAGGCTTGAAACCTGGTTTCTAAGGTGTTTATTTTTTCATTTTTCTTATGTTCATTTATATGTAATTGTGTGTGTGATATGTTTATATTTCACGTTTATGGATACATGTATGGGCATATGTGTAATTCCACATTTAGTATAGAAGATCAGTAAGAACTCAAAGCAAGTGGCAAATATTTTATTTGTAAATATTGTATACAGTGTTTGCTGGTCCTTGGCTTTCTTGCATCTCTTTTGTGCTTCTTATTAACAAAAAGGACATTTTATATAGAGCAGAGTGGTCCTGACATCTGCCATGGTTTACTCATTGTTTGATTATTTGGGTTGAACCTCAGAACCAGTGGTGTCCTGGCTATTAGCAATCTGGATATTGATCCATCCATACATACACATGTAAACATCACACACGCACACACACACAATGTCTATATAATATTCTGCAGTTTGTGCTTATTTGGTATTTCTTCTTTTAAAATGTACATTCTATTTTGGAGAAGTCAGAAGTGGCAGGAAGCGTCCTGCTGTGTCTTCTTGAAGGGTGCCATTTGGACCAGAGACTTAGGAAAGCAAGCAACCCTTCTGTGGTTTCCCAAGCTAGACAAAGGAGTGGTAGGGTATAAAAAAAAAAGCCTTGCTCCTTTTCCTAAGTTAAATTGTCTGATTAGAATGAAAATTCCAATACTGAAGATAAGTTTTGAAGAGTCTGTTCCTTTGAAGAAGGAAATCATTTTTCTTTTGACTTTCTTCTGAAAGTTAGGTTGTGTTCTATTGCTGTTCCTTTGCAAATATATACATGATACCCTTTAAAAAAATATAGCCAGATATTAGTGTGATTACCCAGTTCGGACATTCAGTGTAATAGGTTGGGTGTCTACTTCTGGTATAGATGATATAGAATGTGCACTTTGTGAGTAAGGGCTGGTTTCTGCCCTCCAAGGACACAGGCTCTAGCAGGAAACAGTGTTTTCCCAAAGATAGACACATCAAAGCACTGATTAAACTAAAGGCCATGGCCTTCATTTATTAGTAAAGCTAACTCCACACCCATCTCTTTCTCATCTTCTTAATAGCAGTAGTTCCCGAGACACTGTCCATTGAGCTAAACTAAGACAAAGCAAAATAAAAATACAACATGTAACTGGGACTCAACTTGTGCTAGATATGGACTAGAACCGCTTGAGAAGGTTCAGACTGTCAGGGACCCTCAAGGATGCAAACAAAGCACACCGCAGGTGTCACGTGTCATTCTTAAGAGCTATAGGAGAGGAGTCGGATAATGTTATAGACACCAGAAAATAACTGTAGGAAGAACTCAGAAAGTGTGGCAGGTTATCTGATGTGTGACTCAGTCCCTATATCGTTTTACTGTACGAAAAGGCTGCGGGGTAGACTTCTGGCTAGCCAATAACAGCTTAAACTGACACAGAACTTTTTTTTTTTGTATGGTAGCAAGGTATGTTCATGGAAACTCGTAGTGTGCTTTGGGTGGGCATGGGACAGAGGTGTAGCGTGATCTGAGTTAGTGTTGTATCGGCAGTAGGAAATAGGCCAGCAAGAGGTGTGTTGGAGCAGGGTTCATAGCGAGGCTAGCATCCCATAAGGGATATGGAGGGTGTGTAGGGACGAGCCAGGGGCAAAGAGTGGTCAGCCACCCTTTCTACTCTACCAAGGAGCCCTGATTTTGCCAGAGGAGGGAGAATGGCTCTGTTTTTTTTTTTCTTCATTACAGAGCCTTTTAAAGAGTGATTGTTTATGTTGACTTTCAAACTAATATTTAATTTGTGTTTTACCAACAAGTGTACATAAAAGGAATCCTGACTGAGGTAAGATTGTTCATACGAAGACCCAGTGTACTGTATTTCTCCTAGTGGGTCATACGTTCCTGTCTGATTTTCCTTTTGACTTAGAGTACTCCAAGGCAATGGAGGAGCTTCAGCTTCTCCCTAGGGGATTTAGATCCCAGTTTCTGCTTTTAGGGCAGAAGGGATAGGC